CCCCAAAACCCCAAAACCCCATATGGCATGATTAAATAATAGTTATTGATTAAATCAAGATTTAGGGTATAAAAATAATCTAATATTATGGGATCAATTTATTCCTTTGAGTATCATAAGTTTAAGTGTCTCTCAAAATCAATATGCATTGGCAAGTTACAACGCATAATCTCTGATAATGAGTTATAAGACTAAATAAAGCTTCAGAAGTAAAGTGTTGATCACGAATTTTACTTTTGAAGAAGTTGAGTTAAAGAGCTTTTGATAAACTCCATATCATCCTAGATTTTTAGGACTTTAGTATCAAGTTCAGACACTTTATTATCTATATCAGCCTTTAATTGAGTGAATTCATTTTTGCTATTCTCCTAAGACTGATCAAGTTACAATTTAATCACCTTTGAAATCTACTCCTCTAAATTTTCATTAATCTTAAGAATTTTAGAGTTTTATTCGAATGCTTCATCAATTTTCTCAAGTTTCTGGCCATTTTCTTTATTCTATGTTTGTAGTGAATTAAGATTTTGGAGTATTTCAGCTTTAGACTTAGCAGCTGTTGTCCTTATAGTGTACTTGATATCTTTGATGAATCCTTGCCATTCCCCAGATTCGTTTGATTCAGTGTTTAATGGTCTTCTGGCAACAATGAAATTTGGGAAATATTTCTAGCTTTACAAGTCTTAATTGCTGAATAGTTGTTCTCGCTCAACAATCATATGAGCTTTAACTCTGTATGACTCTGCCACCAATTTTTGCATCACTCTCTCATAGGACTCCGAAATCACAGCAATGATGAAATTCATGAAAACGATATTCAAAGTCATGACTGCTATCAGCCAAATAATCCAGGTAAAGACCACCAACAAATCTTCTTAAGTATGGAAATCATCTAACTGGAAGTCTCCAGATGATATTCTGAAGGCCATTAAAAAGTAAGCCAATTTATTTACTCCATTGTATTCATCTATTTATTAAGCCTTAAAAAGGACTAAGAATATCATGCCAAACTGCAAGATGAAGATTATGAAGAAAATTAAAAAGTACTTGAGATCCTTAAAAACACCAGCCATCATTGAAACCAAGAAGCTGAATCCATCATAAATTCTCAAGAAAAAAAACAGCTTCATGAAAGTTAGAACAATTACCAGTATTTTTATCAAGATTAGGTTTATTTTGTCTTCATTTGTAAAATCTAAAATGCAAAATGTTGTATAAGCTATGATATGGGAAAAGTCAAAGTAATTCCAGCCATCACTAAAATAGCTTCCTTTTTGAACGCTGATTTGCTTTAATTCATAAATTAAGAAGAATAGTAGCACTAAACTGCATATAATCTTAGATGAAATCTTAATCCAAATATTCGGTTGAAGAATTTCAGTATCTAAGTCTGCACTACTTTTTTACTCAGATTTTTCCTGATCATTTTATGTAGCATAAACTGAATAGAATATATCGAAGATAAATGAGGCCATAAAAATCAAGTAAATGTAGAATCTGTTTTGATAAAATGATTTTGTATATTTGTTCCATTTGAATTTGATAATCGCTTGGATAACCTGGTTTTCAAAATATTCAGGTCTTTCTGTTTCACTTAATACTTGCATTAGTTACTATGGATTATTTCTCAATGTCTAAGGCAAGTTGATCAGATGATATTCAATAGATACTAAAGTTTCATTTCCTTCATTAAGGTCCTCCAATTTGCCCCCGAATAATTCATCGTACTTATCATGGACATCTTTGGGATTTTCTAGGTTAATCCCTTCTATCAATTCTTGCTCATCATGATGTTGACTTGGAAAAGATTTTTAAAGTATTTCATAGCTTGATAAATTACTTTAGAAATATTCTTGTAAGTCTATTTATTGTTTGATGAGTTCACATAGATTTTTATCAACCAGCTTGTTAAACATGATATGATCTTGGTATTTAATAATCATTGAAAGAATGATATTGATTATCTTTTGTTGCTGATTTTTAATAGAAAAATCAAGAGCACTCTCCCCTCCTAGCATTTTTTAACAAATCAATATTGGTATTGATTACTTCTCTTTGAATGATAGCTATTTGACTATCATTTCCAGAGCAGCCAAATTATTCTAGAATACTCCGAATCCTGTCCCATAACCAGCAACAAATTTGATGTACTTATCAACATTAGATGTTATATCTTTGATAATTTCTTCATTAGTATGATTAGCCATCTCTCTATAATATTTTATTAGTTAATCATTTATATCTGTTTAGAAAAATCCAACCATTTGTTTTTCTCCTTTTATAAAAATCTAAATCTAACTTGAATTTATGGTTATTTTGTTAGCATAGTCAAAATAAAATGATGGGTAGACAGGTTAAACTAGTAAATCCTGATTGAACATATTTTCGAATGAGCATACTCTCATATTATAAATATCAGGATTTTGACCTTGATCAATTCTTTTAAACAGATAAAATGAGTCTTCATTGAATTCTTTTTATTAAGATGAAACAGTTTCTATATTTTGTAATGGATACATTAATTAAAGTTGAATTGTTTTTACAATAATTCTGTTCTTGATGAATGATATATTTGTGCCTTAGGAAGAATTGTTAGCAAAATCACCTGAAATTTCTTTAATTACTGATTTTTCTTCAAGATTGAATACAGTCACTTAACTTAGAGATTTTACTACTAAATATCTTAGTTCTTCATTTATAATTGCATCTATAGGAATCTTTTGCTACTATTAAAATATCACATTTTCAATCAAATCAATTTCCTTAAAACTTTAGTTTAATTTATCAAAATAAATGATTTTGTTTTTTTATATTAGATCAAAGATGTATTGTTTCTCATGATATTGATTCTTCATTATGCAAAATTAAAAGATATTTTCATAGCTACTATAATATTTTTTTCTAAAGTCTGTCCATTTTACCTTTCGATTATCATTAAGATAAATAAATTCGTCGTCTTTCTTTATTAAAATATCCTCAGTAGTTATTTCATTTACAATAGCATAATTGATATTTTTATCCTCTATAATTATTTAAAGGAAATTTTCATCATTAAAGATTTCACTTTAAGTTATAAGATATGATCTTATTAATCTTTAATACTTGCTTGGACATTCTTTTTTAATTCCAGTGATTACGTCTTATATTACAAAAATATTAGGTTTTTGTGATTTATATACCAAGTAACCTCCCATATAGAATTAAAAATCTTTAAAATTAACTTACTATCCTTGATCTAAAACTGGTAAAAGATCATAATTTTGTCGGATGTTTGTGCTGAAATCAAAAAACACAATCTAATCTTAAAATTAAGCATTTTTAAAATAAAACCTTTAATTAATCGTTTCTATATCATAAAAATCCAGGGTTGAACTGGCAAACTTTGAAAGGTAATTTATGAGTTAGAAGGTCAAAGAATCAAAGACATGAAGAGTGTAATTTGAAGTTTAATTTTCTGAGAGCACTATAAATCTAGTTGGTGTTGTTACTATTTTATGAATATTGTCAATTCTAGAATCATGGAGTTATTGAATTTTTTTTAGAGTGATTCCATCTTTATTGTTATTTTCATAAATATTGAAATCTGAGTCCAAAACGTATTCGTACAATTCTAAATGCTTAAATCCATAGTATTTTTTATCGATTTAATATGAGATTATCATTGTATTCTTGTCAACAAAGAGAGTTTTTTATGATTCATTTTTGTGGAAAATTATTTGATTTTTAAGAAAGTAACACTAAACATTATAATCCTCATTCCTTCTTAGTTAATAAAAACTTTCATTTTCATTTTTTACAAGCAATTAATTAATTTAGTTTTTCTTCAAATTACCATATTCTTATTGACCTAAAAATTTAATATTAAACTCAGCCTTATTATCTTTATTAAATTCTTCTAATGGCTTATCAAGTTTAAATAATTATGTGTAGTATTCAGACGAAATCATAATCGTGAATTCATCGATGATGTCAACATTATGGAAATTGACACTATTATCATACTTGAATTCCATTAAATGTATGTCTGTCTGTGAATCGATGTAATCATCAAGTTTCGCAAATTACATGGTTTACCCATTTTGATAAAATATGTAATCTACCTCATTGAAAGGCCTGTAAAATAATTAAGTGTCTCTTGAAACTTTTACCATATCAATAGTTTTTATAACTTGTAAGGAGTTGAAATCTAAGAAATCAATAGTTCTAGTTGTGTAGGCATTGTCATAATAATATACGACTATTATTAGATTTCTATGGACAATTAGAATGAGTTGTTTAACCTAAGTTTTCCTCCCAGCTTTTTCAAATTTGAATGGTAATGCTTTTATTCTAGAATTCTCTTTAGAGTAATCCATTTCTTCGTATTTGTCTTAAATCCACCGATATTCTTCGGTTAGAAGGTCTTTTTTCTTCTCTTCTTATTCTTATTTATTCAAGGAAGCTTGAATCAAAGGTTTTTATAAATCAGATTATGAATTCTGAATCATTTTTCTACTAGTACAAGATGATATTTATGCACAATTATTAGTTTATAAAATTAGAGAAAGATCCATATTAAGTCTCTTTGAAAGTGAATAATCTGATCAGATTTGTTAGCCTTAAAATGATGAAAATTATAGTTGTAACTGACAAAAATTATATTTATCATATCTAGTGAAATATTCTATTCATCATCATGGGGTTTTGGGGTTTTGGGGTTTTGGGG